CATGCGCTACACGGACCAGGGCCGCAGCAGGTGGGCAGGGCGCGGCCCGGCGCCATCTTAGCTACCGCGGCGCCATCGCGGCCCCCGACGCCGTCCCCGCGCCGTGGGGAGGCCGCAGAGCGCGCGACATGGGCGCTGCTTGGGCGCCTCAGCCGCCCCCCGGGGGAATTCCCGACCCGGTGCCTTGGGGTTCATGTCTTGAAGAATGTTCTTGACTTTAATGTGAACTCTGTGAGTTTCACCCGAAGCTCTGCAGAAGTGCGTCTGCGGGGCTCCCAGGGCTGCTCCCCCTCCAGTATTCTGCAGCAGGCTGCCCAGAGAGGCTGTGGAGTCTCCTTCTCCGGAGATCTTCCAAACCCGCCTGGATGCCACCCTGTGCCCCGTGCTCTGGATGTCCCTGTTGGAGCAGGGCAGTGGACTAGATGATCTCTAGAGGTCCCCTCCAGCCTCAACCATTCCGGGATTCCCGGTAGCCTCCTTGATGTGCTGATTTCTGCCCTCTCGCCTTCTCCTGGTTGTCACTTAACCAATCTTGCCTTTTTCTGCCCATCAGTAACTGTCCTTTAGAGCAGCTTTTCTATGCTTTCCCCAATTCCATCATCAGTGCTTTTCCTTCTTTTGCCTTAGAGTGTTTTTAGGGTGTCAGTTTGGGTCTCCCTTTGGGCATCCATAAAAGGTGTATAGAAGAGGTAAAGTTCTGCATCAACTGTTGAGAGGCAACATCGAGTCTCGTGCCCTCTCCCATGGATGAAGGACCAGTGAATACATGCATCCATTTTCTGGGAGTCACGCTCTGGTTCAGCCCTGTGTGTGAGTGTGATGAGTGTTAGTTCCTGTGCATAACTGTCAGCTTCTGGCTGCGTGCTCCATCTGTGAGGAATTAGCGTGGAGTTCAGGATTTGGGCAGCGTCCTTGGGTATGATTTCAGAGATGTGAGCGGATGCACGTGTTACGCTGCCGTGGGATGTGTCCTGGCTTCCAAGAGCGGGAGTCCACCGGGGCGCTGCACGCCGGCAGCCCTTGGGATGTCACGCCTCTGGTTAAGTAACACCACAGCTTCCACTCTGGTGTTTTAGTTGTTTGGTACTGTGAAAGCGGTATTGGCAGTGTGAGTTTATGCAGTAGTCAGTCACTTAAAAAATCATCAGCCTCAAAATAATGTTTTTTTTTTTTTCCTCCTGAAAATCTTTCTCCATGTGAATTTCTGTTTGAAAGTTCTGCATTTGAAACTTGTTAAAGTAGTGAAACTTAACACCATGCTTTTAATAGAACATGTCGAAGACAGATTTCTCATGATAGAGACTTGAAGTAGAGGTAGGCAAATGGTTTACTTAAAATTACTGTTTTTTTAATAATTGAAAATGTACTAAATTGCTGAAGATTACACAGTAGGTCGAAAGGAGAATGAAAACTGAAGCACAAGAGTTCTTGTTTCTCAGCCAGCCTTGCCACCTGAAAGATCCATGTGTACCTGTCACTACATGAGTAACAGTAATAAGAAACCCTGGAATAAAGCTAACTTCTTTTTATGGAAACAGAAGATGATTTTTCCATAACAATGAGTAGACTTTTCTTCTGTCAGCTCTTATGTAAATCTTCACTAATACCATTGTCCTCCACATCTGGAAAATGTAACTTAAGGAGACTTTTTTTTTCTTAAAAGAAAGGAGTTAGAGATAAGTCAATTATTTGACAGAAAAGAATATAGTCTAGTTCTAAGTTACTTTATAAAATGTATTCTATTTTTCTTTATTTTGTCATTTACAGGAGTATTCAGCTTTTGATTTTGTTAAGGAGAAGATGGAATGTTTCACTTGTTTTACATTTTCAAAAATAGTATTCTAAATAAGTAAGAGCGGAATGAGTATGTAATTATTTAATGCTGCATCACATTAATTTTTGATACCATATTAATTCATCCAAATCCTATGTAAGAAACACTGAATTAGACTGAAACAGACTGTGTAAAATCCAAAGAATGTAAAAACTGCCACTGTCAGCTTTGCTGGCACATTAGAAAACAGGAAGAAATACTTCAAAATTAAACTATGCATATTTTAATGATTTTGAAGAGTTTAAAGGATTTATGGCAATTGTTCCGTTTTAATCTTAACTTGTCACGAAGCACTAACAAAATGTGAGATTGCCGTCTGGTTAAAGAGATAGATGCCAGCAGTGTTCAGACTCTGGAATAAATCAAAGGAAATCCACTGATTGCAGAATAACATATTGTTTTGGTTACTTGTTCCTGCTTGCATTCCTGATACTCTTAAATGGATTTTGCATATCTTCTCTGCTTCAAAAAGGCATTCTCTGAATTCAAAGCATGCAGCAGTCTTGTTATTTTTGCCCTTTTCTAAGGATTAGTCCTCATTTTACTATAGCGGTTTCCTAATTGCTTTCCTTTTTCAGAAAAGGTGCATTTTGAAATCTGTGCTTTGTATGCTCTAACAAGATGCTGATGGTGTAAAAAGTTGGAATCGAGGATCGAAATACGGAGGATCGAATAGGGCAGGAGCTATTTAGTGGCATTCAGCGTGCTTCAGCTCCGGGCTGTCCGTACGAGCAAAGTCCACGGCGGTGCTGGGAGGAATCGCTGCCCACTCCCATGGACCTATCCATAGCTTTTCTGAAGTGACTTTCACCTGGCCCTAGCAGATCTTTGGGGATCCGATTCCTGTCTGGGCTTCTGGCTTTGCTTGTACCCAGTCAAGTCGGTAACTGAAACCAACTGTAACAAAGTGCCATTTATCTGCAGTCAAACAGATTTTTGTACTTCTTGTATGTGCTGGAAATTGTAGTGGCTTTTGTAATTTGTGCTTGTGAAACTGCTGGAGTTCTCTGATTACAGGGGTGTCTAAACACCAAATGGCAAGCTTTTGGGAGGCAGCTGGATCCTACAGGGAAGTGAAACTCCCAAAACGTTTATTGGGTCTGGGTTTTGTCAACTGCAGTTTTCTTGGTTGGATGTCCACGTTACCCTTGGCAGGTTTGCAAAATCAGCTAAGGGACACACAGTGCCATTCCCTGTTCTCCCCAGGCTGGAGCTGAAGCACAGCAGCAAGGTAGTATGGGAAAGCTTTTTTTGTAACAAGAACACTCTACTAGTTTCAGAAAACAGAACAAACCAAAGCCAAATCTTACTCAGTTTCCAGGGCAAAAATTGCTCATGGTCAGTTGGGTCACTGGCAGCAATTGCGTGTTCTTACTCCTGGCAGTTAGTGCTAAGACACCTGACCTTATACCTGATGCCTGTGTGGACACCACACAGCCCGTATCTGCTGTGCTCACAGCAGCAGAGGAGGTCAGAAGGGAGGTTACCCCAGTACAGGGTATCCGGAAAGCTGCCCTTTTGAAATGGGGAATCTGTGCTGTACTTACACCCGGGACAGTTCGTGCCAGGGTGGGCAGAAAGATGTGGAAAGCACCTCTGCCTTTTTCAGCAGTGCGGGCTCGAACACGCGCAGGCCAGGAGGTTTGTGCGAGCCTTGTCCTGCGTGCAGAGCGTGCGTGGCTGTGGGAGAGCTCCTGTGGCTCCCGCAGGGTTGGCGAGGACAGCGCGCTGTGGGCTGGCGGTCGGTGTTCACGTCGGAATGCTATGGGAATTTCTCTCGGTACCCATTCTGCACGTGCTGTCCTCCAGGAGACCGTGCTTGTGTTTTCGTGTTTGCCTGTCTCGGACTGTTATTAAGAGGCATGCCAAAATGTGATCAAACACAATGTTTGGGCTAACGTTTTACTCAGCTGCATAACCTACCAAATACTGGAATGACGGAAAATAGGATTAGAATGGCATCAGTACAGCTATTTCTGCCTCGGAGTAGGAAATCTTGAACTCAGCTATGTTTTCTGTGATTCTGTGTGCAAAACAACTTTATGGTTAATTTTTTGGATTTAATTCTGATATGGTTTTTAATGTGGAAAAATGCAGCTGTAAAAAGTGTTAGCACGAGTGTTATGACTGTTGCAAATAGCATTGTTTTAGTGAGAAGGACATTTTTAGAAGAAAAACCTGTTCGTATCAACATAGAATGTCTATTCTACAATGATGTTTTTTGTCATGTGAAATAATGCTCCCTTTTTCTGTACTATACATGAAACTTGCTTCATATTTCCCTGTTAAATAGACACCAACTTAAAAATAACTGGCTCAGTTTAAGTTGATAAAGGTTGAGGCATCCTTTTATCTGATTGGTTCTCCTTAATTAAAAATACTGTGATATTGTTTTTATTTTACTAGGAGGACAAGGCAACATCATGTTTGTAAAAATCATTTTTTAGAAAAGAAGATGAATCAGTGCACAAAACTGCAGAAGTAATGGAGGAACTTTTCCGCCTTCTTATGCAATATTGGGCTCTTTTGCAAGTGAAATTCCCTATGGGTAACTTGTTTTGCGATAAAGCTGCAATGTGCTGGTGATTCACTTTGTGCTAATACCTCCACCTTTTTTAAAAACAACCAAAAACCCCAGATGTGACTCATTCTGAGAAATGGTGTGAGGCAGTGCTTGTGAAATAAGTTATTTGTGTAACATGCATGAATCCTTCTCATTTTTCTTCTTATTTGGAGACCCACTGAAAAATAGCTTTGTAATCCTTCCTCATATTTATTTCTTATTTATTTATTTATTTATTTATTTATTTATTTATTTATGATCGTGTTTCGGCCCCATGTGCATAACGTCGTGCTCTTGAGTAGGAATTCTTGTGGTCAGCAGACCAAATTCACTCTGTGTCTGCGTTAGTTTCTGCTAGCAAAGAGGCTCCAGAGACTCTAATTCCCCTGGTGCCAGGAATCTGCGGGAGTGAGGGTTGTTCAGCATTTCCTATGAGCAGTGTGTGACCGAATGCACAGTTGTGTGCAAAGAAGCTTTGCTGCTGGGGAGGGCAGTGAACCTGGCCCGGGAGTATCCTCCAAAAAGTAATCTTAAAGCCTGCACCTGCAGGTCATGGGTATTATTTTGGTAGGTCGGCGTTGCATATGTGACAGCAGATGCAGTCGCGCTGTGCATGCAGTGCTGGTCTGGTTCACTGCGTGGGTGTTGGTGCTGCTCACACAACCTCCAACGTGGTAGCCTGAGCCTGCGTGGACCTTGTGTGTCGAACGTACTCAACTACAGCCGGAAAATATTAACACTACAATGGTATTAAATGAAATGCTATGAAAAAAGTGGATCATGCCTTTCTTGCAAGCCATAGCTGATAGAAACTCCCTTTATCTGACTTATTTTGAAATCTTCTAAACATTGCAGAAAGCTTGATTGTCTTAAATTATGTGCTTGCATGTCTTTCTGTTATTCCGTATTTAGCATGTGCATCATCGTTCACTTTATTCAGATATTTAAAAGTCTGTTCTTACAAAGTTTTCAATGCTTTAAGTAGTCTTTGGCTCACAAGTTCCCAGAAAGGTGCCTCAGTGTGAACTGCCCAGATTTTTGAATTTATTATTATTATTTTAATTTTGGCTGCTTGATAATAGTGGTTTTATCTCTTTATTCCAACCACTGTGTGACAAAGATCTGCCCCAAGTGAGGCAAAGCTCCACAGTGTAAGGCAGAAAAAGAATATTCTGCACCCCGGCACTCCTTTCACTGTGTGTGGGTTTTCTTTGTTTCTTTTTTCTTTTTTCCTGTGTGTGGTTTTGGCTGGAATGAGGTGGATGCATTTAATCCACATGCAAATGCATATATGCGTGGTTAGCTAGCAGATAATATGCCTACAGTCTTTTAATAAAGTGTATTGCTAAAATAGCCTTCATTAAAGAGGTGAGCAGCTGCACAGAGATTTTAATTTTGAAATGAAGATTGGGCATTGTATCACTTTTTGAGCACTTGCCTCCTTTGTTTAAAACTTTAGTCTTAGTAACCAAATAGAAAAGCTCAAGTAATCAAAATATGATATCCAGAAAAGCCTATGAAGGGGGGAAAATGTAAGTCAGTTAAAAAACAAAAGCCACTTTCCTTTAGAAGCATCCAAACTGAGCTGTCTGGTGGGGAGAGGATTTAATCATTTAAGTTTTAAATGGCTTTATTTAACTGACCTTAAATAATAACCAAATCTGCATCTTTTTTCTTTTTTTCTCGTTTGGAATTTTTGTGCACTCTGAGTTGATTTCCATCAGCTGTAACATATTGGATCAATCTTATTTGTGTTTGCAATACAGCATGCTGATTGCATCCCAAATGGAACCAACATATGCCAGGACAGTTTATCCATGCTTTGATGAACCAGCCATGAAGGCAACATTTAATATCAGAATCATCCATGATCCAAGCTACGTAGCTCTTTCCAACATGCCTGCTATTGGTAAGTAAACCGCAAGTAGACTTATTTGTTTTTGCCCTTTCCTCCTGCAAAATTACCTTTAAGAAGGATGTAATTCTTCTGAATAAATAACAATTCTATCATTCTGTGCAACAGTGTTCTGTTTTCCATGGGCTAATGCTTTGCATGGAAATGCATGGAAAATGCGTGCTTTTAAATTTAAAAATTCTCAGGCAAGTCATTTAATGTCTTTGGCAATAGTTTAAGACTTAACAGTTGTGATGTGCTCATGTCTGTGCTGAAGGCTGGACACGGTTTGATTCTTAACATTTACTGCACAGCCAATGTGTGACTTCTGCATGACCTTGCTTCAAAAGAAAATGGCAGCTCCAGGAGTTTGTGGAAAAACCTTTAATTGTAGCATTGAAGGATTGTTTTCATTTTATGTAGATTTTTAGATGTATGTAAATCACACAAAAAAGTCTTTTATGAGGCAAGGAGGCCATAGTTTCTTGTACACATATGCAATAAGAATGACATGTAATTACATGTCGTTCCATGGCAGTGGCCCTCCTGTCCCTTGCCGGTCTTCGTGTGGAGTGCACATTCAGATTCCAAACAAATTCCATAAATTAGAATTCCTACAGGAAGCTGTGGGATCTCTTGCCTGCTTCTTAATCCCCTCTTTAGTTCATTGCCATAAATATATATATATATATATATTTTCCCCTAAACCTTCCTTTTTATTGCTGAAAATTATTTATGAGAGTTACACAGAAGTTAAATAGCTCGGGAATTGTAATAGATGGAATGTCTGCAAGAATAGCTTGGAAGCTTGTTACTATTATTTTTTTCCTCCTTATATAGACAGAAGAAATCTGATTAAGTACTTCTTAAATTTTAGACACACATGACCTGCATTTGAGTTAAAAGATGGTCATGCCTATTATCTGTAGCATGGGATAAATTGTTCAGTTTGCCCACATCCTAGAATGGATGCAAACTGACACACTGTTAAAGCTTGAGATAAGAAGCAAGTGATTTTTTTTGTTGTTTGCCTGAAAGGTTACAAGTCTGATACAGGATTGTAGCACAAAATCTGCCTTCTTGCTTGTTGCCAGAAGCATGTGAACTTAGTGTAGGTCTACAGTGTTATCAAAGAGAGGTGGAAAAATACATGCAGGAAACAATTTCTTGTTTGTTATACAAGAGTCATGGTTTGAATATTTCCCTCATACTTTTCTCTCAGATGTTTCTGAAATGAGGGATGAGAATGGAAGCGTGTGGGCCATTACCACATTTAATACTTCGCTGAAAATGTCGACTTACATAACTGCTTTTGTGATTTGTGATTTTGATTATGTCACCAGAACAGAACGGGGAAATGAGGTAAATATGAGGCTACGTAAAACATTACACAGTTTACAGCAGGTTTCTCTGCTGCTTGCTGTGCTTTAGAAGATATCACAGGTATAAACTGTGCTTTCCATTCCAAATGTATTTGCTTGAGTGGGGAAAACAGAAAGTTTTCTAGTATAATAATTAGCATATTATCCTGCCCTTCTAATTTTGGGGTTTATTCTGATGCAGTTCTACAAGTGCTTATTTTCTGTATGTGTTAAAACTTCAGGGGATGCTTACTCTGCAAACAGTACTGGTTCTGTATGTTCATATGTTGTTAGCTTTTTTAACTGCTACTCTGCCTTGGTGATGTTCAGTCTCTGGTAATGACCTCGGTAGAAGCATTGCTGTTCTCCAAACCTTTTATGTACTTGTTTTTCATCAATGGGCACATTTTTTTAGCTTTCAAAAGTAACTTTTTTTTTTTCTGTTTTAAGCTTCCTTATACACTGAGTTTTCTGTATTCTTATTATACTAGAATTGCTAAAGCTCTTTGACAGAAGCTGTAAAAAATACTATAATGGCATTAGTTGTTCAGTTTATCTTCTTTTGTTAAAAGCCAACAGAACAGGTATGTTAGATCGATGGTTGCTTCATTATTATCCTCCTAGGGAAAGGAAGGACCAAGTGAGAGGAGACTGTGCAGAGGTACAGTAGGAAGCACAGCATTGCCTCCTTTATAAAGGTAGAGCTTGGATTTGCATGTCACATCTACTGTCCCCTGCATGTAATGAATGATGCTCACAGCTCTGCTTGTGGTACCTTCTTCTTGGTCAGAACATACTGACAGGAGTTGGTAAAGCAAAGCAAACCATTCATACTATGTTTTTTAGAAGGTGAAGAACCAAGAGGCCTCCTGAGTTGTGCTTTTAAGTAGAGACAGGGGCGGATTTTACCCTTAGGTTTCAGACATAGGTCCTCTATTTATCCCTCTGTGTGTCTGTAAGTGGACAATTCATCGCACCCGTTTTAACATTTCCAGTGATTAATTTCCAATCCCGGGCACCTGTATTACAATTCAAAACTGACTTTCAGATTAGGATTTTAAATCTGTCCGTTACATTTAACTGTTTCGAAATGAAATGTTGTGGTCTTTGAGATGCCTGAAGCCTTGACTGAAAAGGGGCTCAAAGGCTAAGTCTGCTGACTGATTTTTTAATTATTTTTTCTCTTTGTAAATATATATCCTGATGCTTCCACAAATGTTTGAACAGCAAATGATCTCTAGCCATTCATTTCTCTTTCTTCAGGGACCCAAAGGCAAGCTGAAGGAAAATTTGTCCCCCCAGGCTCACTGCCTGGAATACACTGTCTTATGATGTGTGCGTTTAAATATTTTGAAGCATTTCCTTTTTAATAAAAGAATACTTGGGAATGCATTTGCTTTAGCCCTTTATATATGTATTCAACTCTTGGCTCCTTTGAAGTACAGAACTCTCCTAGATTTTTGTGGGATTAGGCACTGCTTCATATTTTGCTTGGTCAAGTACTGTTTGGGTTTTTGATGAAAAGCCTTATTGCATGATTTAGTGTGGACAGAAAGTGTTTTCAAACAATGATTCACAAAAGAGAAGCAAAGAAAATGAAAATATAAGGGTTGTCTAAAAATAATTCTTCCTTGTTTTATTGCAGATACGTATTTGGGCTCGGAAAGAGGCAGTTAAAAATGGGTATGTTGACTATGCTTTAAATATCACAGGCCCAATATTTTCATTCCTGGAAGACTTGCTTAACATCAGCTATCCTTTGCCAAAGACAGGTGAGAAAAAAACCTTTTTTTTTCCTCTTTTTTTTTTTAAATCATCTAATGGGAGAGAAGTTGTCACCGATGAGATATTGTTCACAGAAATAATGGATAGCCTTACTACCTTCTCTTTTTGTAGCATATCACATTCATGTAATAACCCCCTTAATCTTTAATTTACTGATTTCTCTTTGCTGTTATTAGACTATAACTCTTATCTTCATATCACGCTTACCTCTTTAAATTACCATTTCTTAATACAGTGACACATATAGCTACAAAGTGAATAGAAAAAGGAAAGAGGAGTTGTTTTGTCACATGGCTCTTTGTTGCCCACACCATTCTGGGCAAGTGTGCTATAGTCTTCCTACTAAATGCATACTTGTCCCATATGCCATATGTCCCTCAAACATTCTTGGTATGTCCTTGTCTCACGTTGGCAGCATGTTCCTGGAAGTAGATTCCAGTAGGAAAATTATTATCCTTGTTTTAAATGGGACACCAGGTAAGTTGCTTAAGTTTCAGTCAAGAAAGCAGGATGCCATCATGTGGTTTAGTTGTATAGCTTGTCCTGTACTTGTATTTGAATTCACAAGAGTTTAATTAATTAATACTATTAGTGTTAGTTAATATTAATAAACCTATAAGGGAGCAGCAATACTATTGGAGAATTTGCTTTTTTATGCATGTGCTCATTTTGAAAGCACAGAAGACAGTGTTTCATTTAAATGACTTTTGAATTTCCACATGATTTTAGTAGACTGCAAAGTATAGGAGATTTTCTTTTTCTTCATATTGATTAAATAATCTGTTGGGGTTAAATTTGTATCTTGGCACTTGAAACCAAGCAATGTTGAGGGGATTAGTGACAATACACACAAATATTGCTTTCATGTCGTGTGTTAGAGACCTCAGACACCTCTGAGCAACTTAGTCTTTAACATTGTCAAACACAATTTAAGGAAGAACATGGAAACTGTCTGGTTTTAAAGCTGTTGTTATCAGTAAGGTATACCAGTGAAGGTACCTACCTCATCTGAATTTTGTCTGCAGTTCAAAGAATGGTATAAGACCTTGGGATCCCATTGTTAGGCAAAAAGGTAAAATATCTGTGTGTAAGTGTAAAGACAGACAAGTTTTCATTCAAAGAGCTGTGAATACTGTTGGTCATGTCCCAGCTGTTCCCACTCCCCTGTTTCATCCTTCCAAATCTCACATATTGCTAAGTAAATCTCTGAGATATCTTTGAAGATCTTCAAAACCCGCCTGATGTGACCCTGTGCCCCATGCTCTACGTGTCTCTGCTGGAGCAGAGGAGGTTGGACTGGATGACATCTATAGGTCCCTTCCAACCTCAATCACTCTGTGAAAGAATGAAATTTTCATCTGTGTAAATGCATAATCTCCCAGTTCAGAGCATCTTGCAAAACTGCTCATCACAGTTCTTATGGAAAATGCAATACATGTAATTGTCACTCTTCATAAATTTTGTTGTATTTGCAACCACACAAGCTGTCTAAGGCTGTAGACAAAACTGTTGTGTTCCTCTGTTTAGCATCAGCATAAGTATTTTTATTGAATGAATCAACTTACTAATTTAATGAATCAACTTACTAATGTTGAAGGAGAAGAAGGATATTATTAAGAGAAGAATGGAGAAATAGAAGAATGATATTATTCAGACTGAGGGAGCTGGGCCTGTTCAGCCTGGAGAAGAGAAGACTGAGACACCTGATCAGTGTCTATAAGTACCTCAAGGGAGGGAGTGAAGAGGATGGTGCTGGCCTCTTTTCGGTGGTGGCCACTGATAGAACTGGAGGAAACAGCCAGAAACTGAAACACCAAAAGTTCCACAGGAACTTAAGGAAAAATTTCTTGAGAGTGAGGGTGACAGAGCACTGGAACAGGCTGCCCAGGGAGGTTGTGGAGTCTCCTTCTCTGGAGATCTTCCAAACCCGCCTGGATGCCACCCTGTGCCCCGTGCTCTAGATGACCCTATGTGTGCAGGGGGATTGGACTAGATGATCTCTAAAGGTCCCTTCCAACCTTAAGGATTCTATGATCTATGATATCACAGACCTCCCGTTAGGTAAGGTTTCAGTTTCATGGAATTCTGCAATACCACTGCAGTCACTACTTTAATACCATGTAATACTGACTACATTTTCTACTGACTTTCCTTGAGGCTTTGCTTAAAAATCAGTAGGATATGATCAGTTAAAGATAGATCCGTGCTAGACATTTCTGTTATGAACTCAAAACAGAGTTAAAATAAACACATTTAAAGTCAGGAATATTTTGGAGTTTGTCGTTATCCAGTTTTAAAGCTGATGTGTTGTGTGCTACTAGGTGTGTGTTGCTGCATAACTGAAAGTCAGATAGAGCTGGTCAGAAAGACTCTAAGCGTGAACAGGAGAGCCTTGAATACAGTCAAGTTTTGCTTGAGTTCAGCACTGTGCTTATGTTAACTTTTGGACTGGAAGTGGCTGGTTTGGAGTACAAGCCTGTGTCTGCTTCCAGCATGCTCTGTACACCTGCCTCTCGTTTGCCCTTTGCACCAGATTTTAACAGAGTGTCTTTTTTTGACATCTTTGATGTCTGTCCAAGGCCCATCTCTGTTTCTGCCCAGCTGTCATGTTTGAATTGGAAAATTGCTCCCCGTTCTTAAGGCAGAAGTTGTATGGAGGTAACAACTGTGCTGTTGAAATAGAGATGATGCTTCTAAGACTATTTTAAAGTAGTGTAAAAAGGATCGTTTTACTTACAGTGATCAAAGAAAGAACCTTTTCTTACCAATTGCAAGACTGAAAGAAAAAGAGAGAGGGAGGTGAGCATGATACCTCCTGCCCCGACCCCCAAAACACAAGAGGAATTTATAAAAAAAAGAAAGATTTCTGAGAGCGAGAAATGATGGTATTCTGTCTTACTGCCATTGCTAGCATGTGGCATTTCTTTTTTTCTGCTTTCTTCAAAAGAGTGATATGTACAAGATAAATTTAAGGTCTACGTTTGGTGAAGGTCTGTTTGAATTTCTGAAAGACTGGCAATTATAAATGAAAAGAGTGAGAAGAAAAAAATTGACAACAATTTTTTTTTAGAGTATTATTATTATCTAGCAAAGAATCACTGAAATGTAGTATCTTTTAATTCTACACTGGATAAGCATAGATTATTTGTTGTCGTTTTATTTCTGAAAATTTTAAAGAGACATTCTTTTTTTTTTTTCCTCTTTGGCTCGGTTTAGATCTGGTTGCACTGCCTGATTTTGAAGCAGGTGCTATGGAAAACTGGGGACTAATGACTTTCCAAGAGTCATCATTGATGTACCTCCCGAGTGATAAATTCACAGGCAGAAAGGCTGTGATTGCCATAACTACATCACATGAGATAGGACACCAGGCATGTGGTAAACAATTTGGTATACTCAACTTGTCTATGAAGTTATTTCTCCAGTTGCTGATGTTGTGAAGTCTATTGACTAATAGGACAAAATTAGTGACTTGACTGTGAGTGTGAGGAAATTCGTGGCAAATACAAAAAGAACTACTAAAACATTAATGAAATCCATACCCGTGGAGCAGTAAGAGATTGAATTCAGTTTAATGCAGTTAAATTCAATAGAACGCCACACTAGAAAAAATGTAGAAAGGTAAGGATAATAGAGTACTATTTTTATACTCTGTACTTGGTACTTTATTGGGGAATGGGCTTCATTAGTGGGAATTCATATAGATATTGCAAGAGGTATTTGCTTTTCCATAAGAAACGCCTTAGCTTCTTTTTTTTTTTTTTTTTTTTTAGAACAAGGGAAAACAAAAAATATTGTTTCATTCAAAAATGGCTTTTTGTTATGGTTTTCCAAATACTGTATTTTTAATCATAATCTGAGTTCTATTTCTATATGTTTTATTGGGAAATATTTAAAGTTGAATGGAATACAAGATTGATTAAATTGCTGATGTGTTCATGGTATGAAGTTTTAGATGAAGCAGTGGGAAAAAGTAGCTGACTTGAGCATCTGGCTTTTTGCATGATGCATCTTTGTCCTACTAAATTATAACTAAATGAAGGAACATGCAGCCTTTTATCCAGTTGACATGTGCGTATTAAACTCCTTTTCTACCTTACAACAATAAAGGCAGTATCTCAGAGAGATGTTGAGACTTTTTTTTTTCTGTTTAAGTGGTTTGGAAATCTGGTTACTATGAACTGGTGGAATGATCTGTGGCTTAATGAGGGATTGGCGTCTTACTTTGAATACCTGGGAGCCGCCTTTGTTGAACCCAAGCTTTCACTGGTAAGTGCTAAAGCTGAAGTGTTCCAACACTAGGAAGAAAAGTGAGATGCAAGAGATGGGACCTAAGTCATGGCACTATTAACTCCTCTGGGAACTATTGGTAGGTCTTGATTTTTTTAGTGAAAGTTTCCTTTCTACTGGGGACTGTGATGAAACACAGCTGCTCCACAGTTGGCACAGGGAATGGCCAGTTAACTGCAATTCTGTAGCGACAAAGAGCTAAAGACCTGGGATTGTCATTTTACTCTGGAGCTTCTGTCCTTTACAAAAGCCCTCTTTTTTTTTTTTCCTTTTTTCTTTTTTTCTTTTTTTAACTCTTCCCTGGCTTCTGTAGCATAGTTTCCCTCTGCCTGTATCCAAGCCCTATTTATGAGAACTGGAAACCCTGTACTCATATGTCTGTATATTTCTCCTTTCTGTGTTAGGTGAGAGAATTCTGCATGCTGCCTGTGTCCTGGTTGCTTAACTTTTGAATACAATTCAGTCAAGTCTGCATATTTTTTCCTCTATCTGCTGTAAAGATTCCACATCTGATAAGCTGGAACTGGAAGGTTTATGTACGTTTTTTGAAAGTTTCCTTTATTTATTCTCAGGTGTTATGCCTAGATTCAGCAATCAGAGGTCCTCCTGTGTGTCTGAAGCTGATGTTTCTGTTGGTTAGGTACTTCTGAAAGCCTAGTGCTAACCAGCAGCGACTGGACTGAAAATTAGGACAGAATAGTTCCTTGTTCTGCTGATATCTTTAATAACTGAAAAAATACTATTTAGTCTTAAAAGACTTGTTTGAGCTCAAGCCACTCAGCTGTGGTTAAAGACAGAAAGAAGGGAAGGCGATTTTCATCCTCTCAGATTTCTTACAGTAAATAGCTGGGTGACAGAACACATGAGATCTACTCACTTCTCAGTTTTCCCACCCTGTAATATAGTTATACTATAAAATCTGACTTTTTTGATATCAAATCTACACCCATACAATCTAGCTGAAGTTGTTATAAATTATTTTGGTTTAACTGAGATCTATACGTAGCCAGGTAATATATACTTGGTTTTTTACTCTGATGTAACTATTACCTATCAATAAATATTTTAGTCAAAATGCATGTAAACTTACAGAAAGATCTTTTTCTCTTTGATATTGAAAATCGATATCTACTGATCAATGAAAGTACAGCTAGATAAGATGAGTTCTGCACTGTAGGATTTTCCTTAATTGTGTCTTATATGAACAAAACAGCTGTGATTTAGTCATTGAAGATGTTTTAACGTATTGGGAGGAAGTAAGTTTTCTGAATGTAGAAAATGTTGCCCTTTACCATATAGTTCTTGTGTGACAAGTCCCTGGACAGATTGGATTACTGTGCTCATGTGTCCAGGTTCTCAATGGGTTTATATTCTGTATTACTCTGAAAAACTTAATCAACTGTACCAAACCCCAAAACTCCTGCTGTGTTTAAAGTCTAACCTGTGGTAGTCTAGAAGCAAAACTAGACAAACTGTAAGCCTTCTGCCTTCTTAGTGATCAGTCCAGACTGTTTTTTATCTGGCTCCGATTAAAGACCATTCATCTCTTTCATTCTCTAGTTCACCAAAGTACTTAATTGCATGCTTCATTGGAAACTAATACAGTCAAATCCAGGCAGATTTTTAGGTCATAGGATATGCTAACCTCTTTCTTCAAACTTCAACAACAAGTCACTTTGTTCTCTATGAAGCAGTATTGTAATACCTATATGCATAGTATAAAGGCTACCAAATTTTAAACTGTTAATAAATATTTATCTCCTTTTTAATATTGATATGTAGAAGGGCAAGCTTCTAGATAGAATGGTTTCCATTTTACTTTAATAAAGTAAATTTTAATGCAAGACACTAATTCCATTTGATAAATGGAATGTGATTTGCCTTGGAAGTCCAGAATAAATTACACAGGTGGAAGAACACAGGGTTTTCTTGCACAGCCTTGTGGACCACAGATAATTACAAAAGGAACCTAGAAAGTTACAAAACCACATCTGAATTTACTGGTTCTTTACAAAGAGAGAAAAATGAGCAAATAAATTTCATCCCATTTATTAAAAACTGTGTTCTTTCCTTTGACAAATCTAAGTGCTCAAACTGGATTTGAGAGTTTTAAAAGCCGAAGTTCTTTCTTTACCTACCTAATTTTGTCATTTGCCTTTTGGTCTTAGGAGGGATGCTCTGTTGGTAGAAACTGTAGAAATATTTGCAAAAAAAGAGAGCAAAGGAGCGGTTTTATTTCTTGGCTACATCAAAAATGCTGCAGAATACAACTGTAAAGTCATAGTGTACTTAGTATTGTAGCCTTCAGAGTGCTTCTGCTGCAATCCTGAAAAAAACAACAGCAAACAAACAAAAAACACCAGTACAGAGCCTAGGTAGAAGGTGCTGCCAGATTAATAAAATGTAGTTGTAAACAAGATATAAACTTTTTTTTTTTTTTTTAATAGCATTGCAGTATAATTACCTCTAGCAGGTAGAAGCCCACAGTCCTCTTGAATGTGCCCTAAATGGTAGTGTTGCATCTGGTAAATGTTACATTTGAGTGTGGGGTCCATTTTACTTTTTTGGTAGGTAGAGAGGGGAGGAAAGACAATTGTATTTGTTCATTGACAGGCAGTTTGTTTTTGTACCAGTTCTGTAAACCTGATTCTTTGCCTGGAAAGGAGCAATTTCATTTTGGCTCACAATGCGCTTAGGTTTCTGTCTTCTACTTTCAGGATAAAGTCTTTCATGATCATGTTATACAACCCATTTTAAGAGAGGACAATGAAGTAGGAGTTCGATCTCTGTCAGCAAGTGAAGACAAGATTAAAGGATCATCTTTCTTAATGTCTTTGTTTGACAACATCACGTATAACAAAGTGGGTAAAGAAAATTATTTCCTTGTATATTCTAAGCTAATAGGATGCAAATTCAGCTTGAGTGGAACAGTAAATATAACAATATCTTGTTATATTTTTTCTTGTTATATAGTTTTTTTTGTTCATTTTTAGTCAAGATTTGTTTCTACAGCTCATATAGATATATGTGTGAATGTTGCAAATCTGTTTGCCTACAAAAGAAAGGATGAATAAACCTCCATAAAATACAAAGTACAGGAATAGCCAGATACATATTTCTAAAATACAGTTTTGAAAAAAATTGCAATAATAATTGCAATAATAACTCATATGCTCATGTGCCTTTTTTGTGCTTCAGGGGGCTTCCATTACCTGGATGCTTTCAAATTTTCTGACTGAGAAGCTGTTTATCAGAGCACTCATTGTAAGTTTGAAAAATTAATGTCTTCATCTTGATTTATTAGCTTGAAAATAACAGTTGTACAAATTAATTTCTGTCTTTTTACGCTTTTCATTGAACCTGCATGAATTCTTCTTTTTCTTTGCAGTCTTACCTGAAAACATTTTCCTTTTCAAATGCTAACCAGGATGATCTGTGGACGCACATACAATTGGTATTCATTTTTATCTTGCTGTTGTGTTTCCAATTAATTTAGGGAATGTACTGCTTGTAGAAGATTGAGTTGGGATTAGACTGTGCCTAATTCAGTCTTTCCCTTGCATACAGTTTTCTTTGATGTCTCTTTTAGTGAAGATTTTCACAAATATTTACTTGGCTACTTAACTGTACTTGATATCAGTAGGACTGAGTACAAGGAGATGAGGTAAAAAATCAGGGGCCAGTTGGAGTTTTGTGTTTCACATACTGCCTCAGCCTACCTGGAATTGCAGAGTCTCTTTTTTGGGGTGAGTATATGTTTTGCCAGAGCAAAGAGTTACTCAGGGTTTGATGATCATACGATGCTGGTATATCAGAGATTCAAGAAAGTCTATACCTGTGGCAATAACTCACTATTTCAGTTTTTGCAGGTTTTGACAGATATCTGAAAAGAAAACGGATATTAATAATAGGTTTATTATGTTGAAATAAATCCATCTCACTGTTAAAGAAGGCCCCATTGTGTTCTTTATCTCAGATTAAGAACAAGAGTGCTGCAGTTTCAGATGTGCAAGGTTCTGGCATCTTTTAAGCCAGCAGAGATGATAGTAATTCACATTTGGTATCTCTTTCCATATATTGCTACTATTGATTTTATTCATTAGGCTGTGACTTTAAAATCTCTATATTCCAGCAGCTTTATGTGACTGAAATAAACAAATTGTTTGTCTTCAACCATGCAGGGATGCAGGAAAATTAAATAAAAGAGAAAAGGGTTAGCAGTGAAGATACAAGAATGTATTGCAGTGAGGATACGAATGAAGAATGAGAAATGTCTTCTCCCTGGAATAAGGGGTTATGCTGTCTCTCCAATAGTTTCAATAATTACATTTTTACTTTGATTTTTGTGCATGAGCCAAATGTCAGTCAACTTTAAAGAAACATTTTTTTTCCCTAATATGTTAGAACAACCCGTTCGGTGTTGCTGAAGCAGTATTAGTAAATGCATGTTTATCATAAATATTTCTAATTCCTATTTCTCTTAAAGGTTGTAGATGCACAGGATGAAATTCAGTTGCCAGCATCTGTAAAAAAAATAATGGATTCCTGGACGTGCCAAAATGGGTTTCCAGTTTTAACATTAAATCTATCCACTGGCACAATCAGTCAGGAACAATTTCTTAATAAAAAGAATGAAAACAGTACTGATACATACAAGTATGTTTAGCTTGTGTTTTTGTAATATATTTATATACCCTGGTTTTTTTTTGCATGAAACCCTTCCATTAGTACATTATATTTTTGCAGTCTGTGTTTCCCCTGCTCCCTGGTCATAAACTGTCAAGTAAAAGTATTGTTTGAGGCTTGGAGTTTGCAAACTGGTTGTTTTGCCAAAGGGGTTGCTTTCCTCTGGAGTACTGACTCTTCCAGCCACACAGAGACTCTGTAACAAACTGGCCATTAATAAGCTCTAGGGTAGGAGTTTTCTCTGGTGGTTTCTTCACTCCTCATCCCTCAGTTGTCCGGACTGACCTTTCAGAACACCTTGTAGCTTTCTTACAGCACACGTTTCCAATTTCTTCTCCTTGGCCAAGAAAACAGGGTTGCAATGAAGCACTTAAATGGCTACTTCTTTCAAAAAGTAATGAGTACCTGACCTGCCGCTGTAAAATTTCTCACTGTCAGTGAACATTGCTGAATGTTGAGTTCTTTTGAAAGCCACACTGCATGTTTAGGTGCATTAAAGTGGTGATAAGAGTCACTCACTTTGAAACTCATGACCAGAATTTGAAGTTTCAGGAAATTTAGTGATTGTCCTGCATGATAGGATGCATGAGGAGAGTCTATGAGAGGAATTCTTAGCCACATGAGAAATACAAAGCAGAGCATAGTCCAAAACAACTTTTCCCTGATTGAAATTGCTGGTAACCACAAGAGTTCTGATGAGAACCACAGGGTTTTTTTTGCTTCCAACCTTGAGGCGTTGCAGAGAATTAGTTCATTTAACCTATTTGTTAGCTCAGATAAGGAAATCCGAGTCAGAATTGTTAAGTCCTTTAATCTAGCTCCAGCAAGAGGTAATACCATGGGAATTGAAGCAAATCCAATACATGCATTACAGAATTTTTCATTTCCTTGAACTTGCAATTTTCATAGATTTCGTGTGTTTCTCTGGGGGGTTTACATTTTCTCAGAAAGGAAATTAAAGTTGTCAAAATTGAGATTGTATTGCCTGTCTGGAGCCTTTTTTAGCAGAGACACTTCTAAAAAGGAGCTTTACTGTCTCCAGAAACAGGGTGAAGTGCAATAAATGAAGAGCATAAAATTACTGCCAGTGGAAGGAAAGCAGACCATAGAAATGCTTTAGTATTTTGAGTACTGTTCTGTATTACATCTTTGAATATGAGTGCCTGCTGAAATCCATGCCAAAACTTTTCCAATGAAACTAGGGGCTTGTCCAGCATAAATACCACCATCTGATGAGGTTTTGTGCATCAGGGAAGGAAGGTAGATGGAGGTTCTTGTAAGAAATCGTTGCAATCTAGTTTAGCATAAAGTAAGAGCTATTTTGCTTTTTAAGTGTAAGTATTAATTTTCTATTTTGTTTTTCTCTTCTCTGTCTCTAAGTAACACGTGGATTGTTCCTATTTCATGGATGAGAAATGGATCATCACAACCCATGTTGTGGCTTGATAAAAGCACCAGTAAGTAATGAGTTAGTTCACACATGCTAAACAGGCTGATAACAACATGCCTAAAAACTATTTTGATCAGAGGATATGTCTGAATTGATCAAGAAGAAAAGCAAAATCTTAATATGGCAAAGTCTACATTTACCTATTATGTTCACTTTTGTTTTACAGTATCAATAGATTGGGTCTCAATCTAATAGATTAGATGCATAGAAAAACAATACAGTTATTGGTTTTCTCTAAGTTGCAAATAAGCTTTAGAGCATACTTTTGACAATATTGTAGAATGCATGTTCTGACTAGAGATTTCCATAGCAATTTTGATTCATCATTTTACACACAGGGCTAAATTCCAATCTCCTCGGAATTTCCGTATTATTTACTCCAGCAGGTCCCATTGATATTAGCGAGAGTTTTTGAATGTATGAAAGGCCTCAGATTTTGTCCATCGTGGAAGCAACCAAGCTCAAATAATAGATATGAAGACTGAAAGATATTGAAAACAGCTGTATGAAATGACTCAGCCTTGTCATATATGGTTATCTTTAAAACAGAAAATGCATATTTTCAACACTATGTAATTCAATTTGGTTATGCAGTCTTCTGAGAGGAGTATAATTTTAAGAAGTTAAAAAGCTTAAAAAGTGAGTTCATGGTCATATCAAGTCAAACAGTTCATATCTTTCTCATCTTGGTGTTTTCCAATAAATGACTGTTTTTTTTGAGAGAGGGAAGGATCCAATTATTAGAACTGGGTAATTATTTCTATTTGGCAAGTCAGTCTTAAACTCTGTCAGACTTTGGATCAGTTACAAGTAGATGCAGAGACTAATGTGCTTATGGAGTGCTTAAGAGCAGAGCTGGCTGCTCTTAATACTCATGTTTTGTGTGTATTCCAGCTCACTGCCCTCTCTTTGCCTGTTCTTGAGGCAAGAAGATGGGTGGAGAGAATATTTCACAATATATGGACAAATAAGTAAGCTATCAGTAGATGTTTATTCCTCTGAGTGATTTAGATTTAAAATCAAGTAAACTGATAGGTAATGTAAAAAAATATAAAACATAAGGGAAAGACATGTTAAGCGGTGCTTGTTTGGAAGAAGATGCCATGAGCTAATGCTATGTGTTAAGCTTTTGTTAATAATTGATAACAATTCAATTTCCTCACCTTTCATGCACTTTAAGAACAGGAGGAAGAACGTATGGAAAAAAAAAGCATCAGATTGCATCTGTCTGGAGCAACTACTATAAAATAGAAATTTGGTTATTAAAACACATTGTGCTTATATCAGAAAAATGTATATTAAGCCTACCAAAGATGCTAGACTTCAATCAAGGAACATGCATTCAAGTTTAAAGATTTTTAAAAATAAATAATTCCAGTTTTGTTTTCTGCTTTTTGATAAACCAACCAAGGTAGGAAAAGGTAGAAATGTTGAGGGTATTTTTTAATTTGAGTTACCATTTGTTTCTGTAAAATTGAAATGGCTTCTGGAGAACAACTTTTGTTAATGTTATCATTGATAGGTTTTAAAAGAGTTCACGAGAATGGTTGTGGTAAATGAAAATGAGGGATTTTCTAAGAATCAGAACTTTGTTGAATATTTGATGCAGTGGCATAACAGTGCATAAAGGGAAGGATCTCAGCTGTAATCTTAGGGTATGTCTATTTTTTTGCAAGAACTAATTTATCTTCTGGACAGGATAAATGAAACTCCAAGCTAGGATGCTACTAGTAGCTAAACCTATTTTAAACCGTACTGTACTGTGCTAGAAGCCTATCCTAATGATTTAAGGCTTTTTAGGCAAAAAAAAAAACAGAAATATATTTCTGTTGGTCTCTGGCAGGAAGAGACCTGATCCCTGAGTGATATATGTCTGTGCAGCAAAAGCAAAACGCTGTGAAAACATCGACAGCCTTTTCCTCATCTACTAAGTGGGTTTCCTGGTCATAGAAGGAGATCAGGTTGGTGAGGCAGGACCTGCCTTTCCTGAACCCATGTCAGCTGGGCTTTATGCCCTGGCTGTCACACACATGCTGTGTGGTTGCCCTTGAGATGATCTGCTCCATAACTCCCTGATACCGAGGCTGGGCTGACAGGTCTTTAGTTTCCCAGATCCTCCATCCAGCCCTTCTTGCACGTGTGTGTCCCATTGGCAAGTCTCTGGTCATCTGGGGCCTCCCCTGTTGTCCAGGGCCACTGATACATGGTGGAGAGCAGCTTGGCGAGCACTTCTACCAGCTCCCTCAGAACCTTCAGGTGGATCCCCTCTGGTCTGGCCTCAGAGACTTGTGCGTGTCCAAGTGGAGGAGCAGGTCACTTACTATTTCCTCCTTCATTATGCCGGGTTTATTCTGCTCTCTGTAGGTGTCTTCCAGCTCTGGCGGGTCAAGTACCTTGAGGATAACTGATCTGGATGTTAAAGACTGAGGCAAAGAAGGCATTAAGTACCTCAGCCTTATCCTCACCCTTGGTGACAATGTTCCCCGTTGCATCCAGTGAAGGATGGAGATTCTCCTTGGCCCTCCTCTTCTTGTTAATGTATTTGCAGAAGCTTTTTTTGTTGTATTCTACAGCAGTAAGATTGAGTTCCATCTGAGCTTTTGCCTTTCTAATTTGCTCTCTGCGTTCTCTAGCGATATCCTTGTACTCTTCCCGAATTGCCCACCCCTCCTTCCAAAGGTGGTAAATC